CAAAGGTAAAACCGCATTAGGGGTCCTAATCCCAATGCAGCCCTCTAGCTCCAACCCTAATCAAACACACCTGAACAAGCAAATCAAGGTATTTAGGATTACTAGAAAGTTACAGGCAGGTGAGATTGATCAAGCCTGGAATTAAGTGGACCTCGAAGGCCAGAGAGCAGGGGTGTGCAGTTCTGCTCCTGCAGGGCCACCTTCCAGCAAACACACCTGAACCAGCTAACCAAGGTCTTCAGGATCACTAGAAATTTCCAGTCAGGTGTACTGGAGATACACTCCAGGAGCAGGATTGGTCACCCCTGCACTAGAGACATCAAACCTGTACTTACTGTGCACCTTCCCTATCAGAATCCAGAGTTTTATTTTGTGTCAAATAAGGGTGCCAATTTAAGTAATGTCAACATCTTATTCTTTTAGGCATCTAAGAATAAAGAAGCCATGTTGACATGACAAGAAAATCATTGCAGAACTGGTCAAACTCATGGCCTCAACCCCTGATGTACCAATGGCCTCTATCTTGGATCTGCAGGAGAAGGAGAGCCAACTCGAGGGGCTAGACATGCTGGAGGACCAGAGTATCTTCTTGAGAGAGAGGAGGATGAGTGATGTGCTATGAAGAGCTGGCCAAGGATCTCCTGAAATCAGTGCTGCTGAGGAGTCAGTCCGAGGTCAAAATGGCTATAGCAGGAATTCTTGGTAAGTGTTTTTTGATCATTTACAAATAGACTGTCCACTTCCAGTTTACATACAGAAAGAATGCTCTGTTTTGTGTGCAGATTGCCTGGAGGAGAGTGACTTGCAGAAGGTATAATAGTTTTTATGGCAAGCTGACCGTCTACCTGTCTTCCAAAACATACCAATCGAGGAGGTAGAGGGGCGAGATACAACCTCCCAGAGGATGCCTACTTGATAAACCTGAGTGTTTTCCTCTCTTTTGCAGCTCACAGCTCCACATTTTGCTGATTGTTCACCGTTTGTGTTTTACCGGTAGATTTCCTTGTACAAAATGAGCCTGGTTTTCAGGCAGCACAGATGACCCTCACACCAAAAGAGTTGTAATGGTGCCAGGACTTCTGAGGAGGCTGGAAAGATGACCAGCTTCTCCTAAATAACTATTTCCAAGAGACCTGGAAGGATTTACCTGAATGTCTGACATTTACCAGCATCAGTAACCCACGCAAGTGGTCAACCACTCAAGTCTTAGTGACATTTTGTGGATTTGTTTGTTACTATCTGTGTACTGTTGCTTCTCTTTTGTTCTCTTTCTAGATGAGGGACATCCTCAATCCTGAAAATCTCTCAAATCATGTGCCACAACACCTCAACAAGCTGAAGTTTCAAACCATCAAACTCAGTCTAAGGTGAGTGATGGAAGACTGCTATTTTAACCAACTATTGGTTAAAAGTATTGCTGCTTAAGGCACCTAAATACAGAGGCGTTGTGTATACAGTGGCACCTGTGAATGACCTTGGGAAGATTCTACATGTACATCGGACCATGTTGAAGGCCCAAATGCAGCCAGAGTCTCGGGATATCTCTCAGGGTAGCTTGCCACCAACAGCCGAGTTGTGTCAAAAAGACTTTAGTCAAGAAGATTTTAATGATGACCTGTTCTTCGTATCTACCAGCACGGATGGTGCTGGTATTAGCTCTGCCCCGGTGAGACCTGTCGCCTCCGGTATCTTCCAGTATCCACAGAGATTCCAGTGCTGTCCACAGTTAACACAGAGGTTCAGGGATCAAGACCATCGACCTCTTCTACTGCTCTGCCTGACCATCCTGTTCCAAGTTCGTATGATGTGACTCGAGCCCCATTGCGACGGACGTCACGTTTGACAGCAGGGCAACATTCTAATTTGCACCATCTTCCCCAGGCAGTGCGGGAGGTTGTTAGTGGGACTGTTGTCTCTCCTAGGCCTGTGTCTCGGGCAGTTTCTGTTTTGTTTAGGCCCTGGAGCTAGCGCTATGCTGTTTCAGTGGGATACCTTAAGCCACTCTTGTTGAGGTCAGCTTATCGTCGGGGCGACGATAAGAAGGTAGTGGGTAGATTGTGGCAGTGTGGGATGGGCTTCCTTTCTTCGAGTGGTGTCCCTTTATGAGAGTGAGTAATGAGGATAATTAATGTCAGAGTAAGTGGTCAACCACTCAAGTTTCAGTGATATTTTGTGGATTTGTTTGTTACTATCTGTGTACTGTTGCTTCTCTTTTGTTCTCTTTCTAGATGAGGGACATCCTCAATCCTGAAAATCTCTCAAATCATGTGCCACAACACCTCAACAGGGATGGGCTTCCTTTCTTCGAGTGGTGTCCCTTTATGAGAGTGAGTAATGAGGATAATTAATGTCAGAGTATTTAAATGTCTGGGCAGGAAGCATTAGAACGTAGCATCTGTCATACCCGCCCCTCTTCCGGTCTTCAGTGTCACAGTAGTTGAAGTAGGTGATGGTTGATTACACGTGTATTGTGTGTTTTAGCCTATTATAGTAATGCTCGTTCTTGTTTTTTTATATTGGCAAGATGTTGTTGCAGCCATGCCTGTTAAGTCCTCGGTGAGCCTCGTCAAGCGCTCGTTGGAAGTTTTAGGTATGCAGGCTGTTGTATTATGTATTGATTTTCATTTTTAATTGTTAGTCTGAAGTGTTACTTTTGTGTGTTTTTAGTGAAACAATATTTATGAAGACATCCTAACATCTTATGCTTGTGTAGCTGCGGATTGGAGTATGTATGATGCGATAATTGTTTGGCAATATGTTGTTTGGGGTGTTTTAGATTATTGTTTTGTTTTGCAGTCTTCTGCAGTTCAGTTGATGACCAACTGCGGGTCATGCTGCTGTTTTTCATAGTTTGGTTTCTTGTGGTGTGAAAATATAGTGTTTGTGCTTTCAATTTGTTGTTTTTGTGTTTGTTTTCTGTGATGATCCGAGTTGAGCTGTTTAGGCCGAATTGGTAGCGTGTCCTCCAATTAAAACCTAATTATAAGTGGTTCTGGTTTATTGCCAGTGAGGTAGGACGCTACGTTACTCCATTAATTGGCCTTTTCGGCTATTAATTGTAATTAGTTTTTTCTTGAGTGAATATTTGATTATTTGTATTTTTGTATTTGTACCGGACCCACTAATTTCTCCTTTTTTCCCCTAGTTTAGTCCAAGGCTGAGTGTGCCGAAGGGGAGTCTAGTCACCTGGGTAAAGCACACAGTTGTGAGTTTGTAGCACCAGGGTTTGAGCACCTCTTCCTATTGTTTGCTGTGCACACAATGGTGTGGAGAGCACTGTTTATTTCAGCTAGTTTGCCACCCCTAAGGTAAGCTTTAGCCTTGTTGCTTTCCCTTTTTTTGTAAGAATTTGTGTTTATGTTGGTTGGTGGGGAAGGTACAAAGTTTCTTTATACTTGGGGGGATTGTTTTTTTTTTGTCTTGTGTTAGTTGTTTTTTTTGTGTATTGAATGTGTAGTAAAATGTTTTCTTTTTAATCTGGTGAACTTCTATGACCATTTCTGTAATAAAACTTGTCAATTCATGAAGAGTATTACGCTGGTTTAACATTTCTTTAATATACGTATATATTTTATTTAATTTATTTTTTTAATAAAGTTTTTCTTTGGTTGGAAGCACGTCTCCGTCTTCTCATTACAACATTGAACTTATAGTGCTTGAGTATTTTCTTAGGTGCAATTCCCATGGTGGCGTAGTCATTATACAAGCTTGAGGTATTGCTCAGGTCACAATCTGGCGTAGTCGGAAGGATTTGTTGCATTGTAAAAGCGGAGACATGGATTCCGTAATTTTGTGTTATCTTTTTTTTGCATGCATATATATATATTATTTTTGTTCAATTGTTTGTAGAGGTAAAGGGGAAAAACAGCAGCCGACTCTGAGGTGATTCCTAAACCCTAGACTAATTAGGGCCCCGTCTGAGTGCTTTTTGGTGTGTTTTTTTTTTCTGTTGTTTTCCTTTTTAGTCATGGATGGCGACTTGGCAGAACTTCGGGATATGGAGGCACAACTGAGAGCCGAAAATGAACATTTGCGCCAGGAGCGGGTGGCCACTGCAGTAACAGACTCTGTTCCGGCCCTTTGTGATAACACCGCTGCAAGGCCATCTACTAGTGTGGCTGCTGAAGGTATTCCAACTGCTATCGAGAGACTTGTTCTTGTCCCACGGGATAGAAAGTGTCCCATGTTCCGAGGTAGTTCCGGTATTGGTGTCGACGAGTGGGTCGAGGAGGCCCGTGCATGTATGCGAGCTCATCATTTAGTTCCAGCTGAACAAGCCTTTTTTTGTTTGACCACTTAGAAGAGGAGGCTAGGGGCGAAACTAAATTTCGTTCAGGTGCTGAGCGGGGAAGCCATTATTCAAATTCTACTAGAACTGTATGGTTGTTGTCAATCATATGTTGCCTTGCAAGAGGCTTTCTTTTCCAGAAAACAGCAAGAGGGGGAGGGTCTTCATTAGCTTTCTTTGGCTCTGATGGGTCTCATGGACCGGGTAAAACGTGTTGCACCAGTGGGTATGTTGAATTTTGAGGTATTGTTACGTGATCAATTTATTGAGCATGTTTGTGACGGCTCCATCCGTCGAGAGCTAAAGCAACTAGTACGTCGCCAGCCTACGGTTACACTGTTAGATGTAAGAGGGGAGGCTATTAGGTGGGAAAGGGAGGGTATGACCGGGGGTGCTCGAGGTCGTAGTTATTCAGTTCCATCTGCCTATGGCCTCCAGTATGGGGTTCAAGGGGGGTCTTCTACCATGACACATGATGGTTCGTTCGGGTCCGAGTTAGGGGATCTCAAAGAGATTTTGAAGCGACAGCAGGATCAGCTTAATCAGTTGACACAAAGTATTGCCTCACTTCAGAATAATCAAAGGCGCACTAGATTGCCCAGAGAGGGGTCTGTAATTTGTAGGAGGTATCAGCGTCCTGGCCATTTTGCCAGGGAGTGTGATGGCAAAAGGGTTTCCTTTCGCCCTCGGTCTAATTCTGTAGCCTCAACTTCATCTTCTCTATCTGTTGTTAGGCCTCCTGCTCCCCAACAGGAGTCGGAAAACTAGTGCCCACCTAACTGCTGAGCCACGGGGATCTGTCACTGGGGCGCATCTAGTTGTCCTGGTCTCCGCTGACATTCAGGGCTGTCAAGGTAATCTCTAGGTGCTGATCCACCATCTGGGCTGGATACGTACTGGATCTGGTGGCTACGGTGACCTCGGAATAAGAAAGAAACAGACTAATATTAGTGTAGATGCCATTCTTCTAACGATGTAGCAAGTACATTCTTTTATATGGGCTTATATTATACTTTAACAGATGCATTTCAAACAAATGAGCTATGTCTGTAACATGTCTCCTGTACATTTGTAATATGTATGAACTGTTGTGTACTATTGAAAAAACAGTATTTCTTTCCAAGAAATGTTTTTGCTTATTGCCTTACTTAATCTACAATATTAGGGTGCTAAAATGCTTTTATTTATTTAAAAAGTAGTACTTATAGTTTATAGGGATGCACCGATACCGATACTGGTATCGGTATCGGGCCCGATACTGGCCTCCTGTACTCGTACTCGTACTCGTTAAAATGCCCCGATACCAAACGCCGATACCACACAGCATGTGATAAGCGCCATATTTAAACAAAGAAACACTGACAACAGACAGCAGAAAGGAGTTATGGATGTCTACTACGAAGTATATGTATGCAATGAATATAATATTAAACATTTAGTATTAACGCCTGTATAGCTGATGTGTGCGAGCTGATAAACAAAGCACGCTGAGTGGATTGAGCGCGCGGCGGCGCAGATGCGCGAGCTTGTCGCGTGAATATACCTTTCTCACAGACATCATTGGAAAGTTTATAGTTCGGTCGGATATGTCAAAGACAAGTAAGTAAAACAATGCACAAGTTACTTAATGGTAGGGAGAGAGAGCAATTCTGTTGTGTGATCTTTGATGTTCACTCACTTAGCACACGTATCATTTGGATTAAAACTAAATCGTAAAAATAAGACCATTTATAGGGGCATTCACTATAAACATCATTTATTTTCAACCTTAGGCATACACGACTTTCTGGCGAAAGTGAAACTAGCAGCCTATGTGAAATGTGCTAGGCTGTACTATTCTGCATTAGTACAAATACGTGCACGCGTTGTGCGTGCTTTGCTTGCTTGAGTGTTTCTGCATTGTATGAGTGGCTTTGGAATATAAATCGCAGCACGTTTCAGATGAAAAAACGCGACTTCTATTTCTGAAAATATCACAGTTAGGAGATTTATAACGAGTGGTTCCCTGCATTATTACAGCAAAGCGCGTGATTACAGTACTAAGCCGCTGCAATGAAGCAGCTCTAATGCTATTAAATTAAAGATGATGTACCATAGAGCAAAAAAAACAAACAGTGAAAGTAACAAAAACTTGTAAAATAAATTTTAATGGCCAGTGTCTGAATAAATTTTGGTTTGACTGTATCTATTTGATAAATTAAGTG